TGTATACCAACCATATTTGTTTATAACTTTGTTAATAAGTTTTGCTTTTAGAATTTTGTATAGCAGTTATGTTTAATATTGGCAATTTTACTTATTAATTAGGTAAATAAAATTGATATTTTAAATTAATTAATATTTTTATGCCATTTTGGGACATTAACACGTTGACTGCCGATGACGCAAATGTTGCGTCACGGCGGCCCCCTACCAAGTACCGATGACGCACCTGTCGAGTCAAGTACCATTGAATATAACATGATTCATATTATATGAATATGAAGCCATGATACATCATGATACATCATGATATGAAGCAGTGTTGCTCCGGCTTTTGTGCGAGGCGGTTCATTTTACGTTGGCTTCTTGTTAGGTTATAAATTGGTATTTTTTGCATATCGGTTTTTTTATAATTTTATAATTTTTATAATTATTACAACACTAAAAAACACTTTTTTGAAAACCATTCGGTTTTTCGTGAAAGTCCTTAATCTGGCATCGGCAGTCAACGTGTTAAGGCTAGTCCAAGGACATCCTGAAATGACATCCCCGGTATATCTCAAAAGGTCGACCTATGGACGTCCTCTGGACGTCCTTATAGGATCATACTAGTATGGGACATAAGGCTGGTCCAAGGACGTCCTGAGGATGTTTGTGCTTGCTGGGATTGGCAATAATATATTGGATAAACATTTGTCGCCAATATAGGACCAACCTTGGATAAAATTTGGTAATAAAAATTGAATAACCAATTTACGCCAATATAAAGCCAACCTTGTAAAAAATTGGTAATGATATATTAAATTATCATTTTATGCCAATATAGGGCCAACCTTGGACAAACATTGGCAATGATATATTGGAAAATCATTTTACGATAATATATGGGGTAATATTAGGTTAACCTTGGGCAACCATTTTTAATGATATATTGGATAATTATTTTACGCCAATATAGGGCTAACAATGGACAATCATTGGCAATTTCATATTGAATAATCATTGTACGCCAATATGGGGCCAACCTAGCACAAACATTGAGTATGATATATTGGATAATCATTATACGGCAATATAGAGCCAACCTTGGATAAACATTTTTAATGATATATTGGCGTAAAATGATATGCAAATAGAAGGACCAACCATGTATAACCATTGGAATGATATATTTATTATTTTATGCCAATATAAAGCCAACATAGGCTAAATAAATTCAATATTGGCCCCAGATAAAATATTGGGCATACACTGTTTAAAATATCTGTGGTGTAAAAAGTAATCTTAAAATGGTGTCAAAATCCAACACCAAGTGGTGTTAATATAACACCATGAATTATGGTTGAAAATGTGTACCGATCGCGGCAAAGGCGGTGTGGATCACGTGATGTTCTTAAATCTCGCCTCTGTTGACTTACATGAAGAATATATAAACTCAGGTGGTCCTTTGCTTTGGTGTGACACTACAAGTTGTTCTATACTAAAGAGACCTTAAATAGGTGGAAACAGCTGTCAAAACTTGTATTTTAAGTTAGTGGAACGCACTAAAAACATTATCTCTAGCGAGTTGAATGTTCCATTTTCTGGAATAATACCACTGGTAATATACTAGTAAAGCGTCAAGGAACTTCCTGGTTCCTTTTTTTTCTTTTTTTCTGTGTAGTATGATTTAATTTGACCACAAACACATAATATTTAACACTGAAAAGGAGTTCAATTTACACCAGGTAAAATTTATTTTAATACTGTGTGAAAGTTAAATGAACACCATTTTAGTATTTGAATTTACACCGGCCAACGAACCATATTTAACACCATTTTGGTTTGTATCGATATAGACCATGTATGGTGTTAATTTGGTGTTAAAATGGTCATGAAATTTTGAACAGTGTAGACGCGCCCCCTATTGGACCAATATTTTTTGCTACTGGAGAACGGAACGGAATATCAAAGCTTTGTTTATACATGTTTATACCCTATTAAAAATGCCATATAGAAACACAAAATAAAAATCTATATGGTTCTATCTGGTTCAATATAGGAATTTGAAACAGGCATTGCACTATTGAACCAGATAGAATTCCATACCTGGAAAACCATATAGAAAAGTGATTTCTATATGGATTGCCATATAGGTTCATATTGCTCTATCTGGCCCAATATGGTTTGGGTGTGAAAAAATTATTACCATATAGATCCATATTTAACCATATAGGGGAATCTATATGGTTTAATATGAAATTTTCGTTTAAATATATATACATTTTAAAATGGAATTCCATATTCAACCATATAGAGAAACCTATATGGAAAGACACATAAAACAGAAACCAGATAAATCCATATAAAAATCCCTAAGCTGTACATTTTAAAATGAAATTCCATATTAAACCATATAGATTCCAAAGTGTAAACCAGGTCGTTCCATATAGGACATATAGAACCATATAAATCCATATTAGTTTCCTTATCTGGATCAATATGGGTTCTATAGGGCATTTTTAATAGGGTACACAGTTAGATGTCATTGTTTTGACGTTATATTACCTTATATATAATATGAGGCCTGTCATAGCAAAACCGACAATCTCTACTTTTGGTCAAAAATTAGATTTTTGGCGGAGACTATACTTCAACTAATTATCTATAAGACAATATAATTCATTAATATTAGAACCAATAAAATGCCAGTATTCCATAGTGACGTATTTTAACACAGCGGCAATATTTTTTATCATCTTGTTTACACGTTACTATGAATTTTGACGTTTTTTTGATTTGACATTTGTTGTCATTTCAATTCTGTTTTTGATATATCGTCACCTGAGAATTATAGTGTTCTATCTGCATTTTCTTTTTTTTATTCAGGTTAGTCTTGTTTTAAGTATTAAAGATGCATATTGTTCTATCTATATATAATTGGGGTAGAAATTGTACAGTTTAAACCTTAAACTTTACAATTTCTACCCCAATTATATATAGATAGATCAATATCATCTTTAAGACTTAAAACAAGACTAACCTGAATAAAAAAAAGAAAATGCAGATAGACCACTATAATTCTCAGGTGACGATATATCAATAAAATAATGAATTATAAACTCTAAAAGATCGATGGGTTGGTGTAAACGATAATGAAATTAAGGTAAGTTTGAATAAATAAGGTTTATTAAAGTCTTTTTATATTCTAAAGCACATTTTAATTTCAAATGTCAAACTAAAAATTCGTTAAATCCTAAAATTCATTATATTTTCTCACTAAATATAACTCGTGGTATGATTAATTATCGATGATATTTACTCATTAAAACCGAAGCAGCACATTTCACTCGTCCTGCGGACTCGTGAAATCTGCAGCTCGGTTTCAATTCGAAAATATCATCGATGATAATCATACCACTTGTTATATTATGGGTGATGATAAAGTTTATGTGCTGCAAAAGGAGCTAAATCCTGCCTAAAATCCTATTTTAAAAATGACATTTAGTGCAAAGTCGACAATCTCCACTGATAGATTTGCAGCAAAGTATACAATCTCCAATTCCACCATTAGAAATTAGTAATTTGTATCACCTAATATCCTAACATTTGATGTTATAACGTATTTTAGAGATTTAATTTTGTGGTTTTTTACTGGTACATAATGTTAAGTTCTATTGCAGTAAATTGCACTTAAAAAATATATTTAAATTTAGGTAAATCTACGTTTTTTTGTTTTAAGAATGATAAAAAAGTTATCTTGTTTATTTTGTGCTATTATACCATAATAAGACCAAAAGGTAAAGCAAGAAAAGGCTGATATAATGTCAAAACATTGCAATAAAACATTACGGGGCAAAGTGGAAAGGGGATGATGAGTTGTTGTACTATAAAAAAAATTTTGCACGAGGCAACCTGGTCCCACATTTAGAAGAAACTCCAGATTTATGTGGTCCAGTTCAGAATTTTCCAACATTGATTGTATAGTTACATTTTATAACCATTAAAGGGAGAAAAATACAATTATTTTTTTGTTTATTTTTCTAAATCTCCTTAAACGTTTACAACAAAATGAGCAATCTCCAGCAATTCATATCAAAGTCAGCAATTTCCAATTTATAATTATAGATTTCACCTATACTATGCATCCTGGAGACCTTGTAGTTGGCAACTAGACTAACAACAACAATATTTCAATATAATATATAAAAAAAATTACAAATCTAGAATTTAAAATACCAAAATCAATTATCTCAATTTACTCAGTTTTAGTCTGACGGGAGATTGTTGTGACTTTGCTCTGACAGGCCTCATATATGATATGGTAAAAACTTGAAACGTCAAAACAATGTTAGTTTTGAGTGTAACTTTTTTGTTTTTTAATTAATGCTTTTAGTTAGTTTTATTTAATGTTATAATTTAAAAAACTAAAATAGATTTTATTATACACAATTTAAAAAGTACATGTATTTATAACGTAGTTTATTTACATAGCGAGTTAAATTTGGGAACCTTTACATCTTTAACAAAAACAAGTTTATTTAATAAACGTTATTTTAATATTTGTTGTTGTTACTAACCAAGCTGTTTAAAGTAAATTTAACTTGTATATTATTTGCATCTCAATCACATGCTCCATTAGAATCATTAACGTGATTAATAATTGAAATGATAGTTGGTGAATAAGCCAATTAAATTGTATTGCTCTAATGCTAATTGTATTATACCCGAATTGTGGAGTAAATCCAATAGAACTAAATTGCCATCTATAGGTTAATACTTACCTACATTATCTCAATTGCCATTTTCTTTTAAATTATTTTTACTATAGTAGTATACTATATATAAACTTTATATAGATTAAGACGGTTACACCCCCAGTACTACAGCCCACTACAAAAAAATTGTTCATTTAATTTGGTTCATTGAATCACCATTAAAAACTATATGAATGACAAGTTTTATTAATGTATGTTTAGGAAGTTTTAAAAACATCCAAAATATTACCACTTCTTGATTTTCAGGCGTGGCCCAGCTAATCAACAAAGAAACTGGCAGCCCGTTCACCGATTGCGACGTCTCTTTATTCGAAGCCTTCGCGATTTTCTGCGGCCTAGGCATCCACAACACCCAGATGTACGAGAATGCGTGCAAGCTGATGGCCAAGCAGAAGGTGGCTCTGGAATGCCTGTCGTACCATGCGACGGCGAGCAACGACGCCACAGAGATGCTGGTGAAGGAGAACATCCCGTCGGCTGGCAACTTCAATCTCTACAGTTTCACTTTTATCGATTTCGAATTGAACGATGTGGAGACGTGTAAAGCCACTATTAGGATGTTTTTAGAGTGCAATTTGGTGCAGCAGTTTCATATACCTTATGATGTAAGTATCATGTTCATTGAATCAATGATTATTTTAATGTTTAAGATGGTACCCGCTATTCAAAATTGGGGAATATTGAAATTTTCTATATATATATATATATATATATATATATATATATATATATATATGTATATACAGTGTGGAACTCACTTATGGAATAAAATTCGTTATTTGTTGAGAAAATATTTTTATGAAAAACGCTCGGACACGTAAACTTTAGTTTTTTATTCCAAATCTTATAATGATAATTTTAAATTTTATGCCCCCACCATTTTCCCCCCCGCACATTAGGCACCCTTATCTTAAATAACAACCCCACTTGTTTTCATCGAAAATTGATGGTGCACATTTTTTTGAGTATGACGAAAGTAATTTGAAACACATATTTAAAAATTCAAATTGTCCAACGCAAAGGATAAGGGAGATAAGAATAAAAAACGATAGCCAATCCCAATAGATCACCACAGGGAATTCTTTAAATTGCTAGGATACTTAGGTTGCATTGTTGATAATAAAAAATATGTAAAATATTTGGTCCACTGGAATCCAATTCATTGTAACACTGCTGTCAATCTTTACTTCTGTCATTAATATTATATTTGGTTATAACACAGTTATAAATTAAGTTATTATAAATAATGTTTTCCTTAGATGATTATACCGAAATGATAATTATTTATGGGGAGTGTGGGCGCAACGCCAGGGAGACAGCGAGAGTTTTTTCCCAGCGCTTTCCTGATCGTCCCCTGGACAGTAAAGTAATCCTTAGAACTATCACAAGAACCCGAGAGACCGGTCAAGTTGTTCCGCTTCATAAGGGGATTGGAGGTGCTCCCAAACGTATTAGAACAGTGGAAAATGAAGAAGCTGTTTTGAATGCGTTCGAGGAAAATAGTAGGAAGAGCATAAGGGAAGTTGCTCGAGGACTGGATATTTCCCGCTCCACAGCTCAGCGGGTTATGAAGAACGATCGGCAACACCCTTTTCATTTTACCCGAGTGCAGCACCTTCAGCCGGAAGATTATCCCGCTAGAGTCGAATTAAGCCTGTGGTTGCTGGAGCAAGAAAATCTCCAGCCAAATTTTGTTTCTAACATTATGTTTTCGGATGAGTCAATTTTTGCCAGACAAGGATGCTTCAATGCCCATAATTTACATGTATGGGCAAATGAAAATCCGCATGCTATATTCCAAGGGGGGTTTCAACATCGATTTTCTATTAATTTTTGGAGTGCTATAATAGGAGATCGCGTTGTATGTAAACTATTTAGGTTTTCTTTTTTATTCTAATTTGGCCATTTTCCTCTAGGTTGGACCTTTTGAATTTCCTGCACGGTTAACAGGCCAAATTTATGCAGACTTCTTAGAAAACAATTTAGAGAATTTGTTAGGCGACGTGCCACTGGTATATCGAGTAAATGAATGGTTGCAGCACGATGGGGCACCACCACATTTTAGTCACGACGTTCGGCGAATCTTGGACGGGCAGTATCCTGGCCGATGGATAGGACGAGGTGGGCCACAAAATTGGCCTGCTCGTTCACCCGATTTAAATCCCTTGGATTTTTTTCTTTGGGGACACCTTAAAAACTTTATTTATAGTGTACCCATCGAAACAGAGGATCAGCTTAGGAACCGCATCCAAGACGCTTTTGCGACGGTTAGGTCATGGAGTCAAAATCCAGCCTTTCAAGAAGAGCGCGGATTTGTTTACAAATGAATGGTGCACACTTTGAGCACTTATTGTAAACAGATTAGCATATTTTTTTTATTTAGTTTTTAACACATTTTCATAATATTTAATTTAGTTTTACTTAATGTTGTTTGTTTACTTTTACGGAAATTTATAGTTTTTGTAATTTTTTAAAAGTTTGTTTATTTGTTTCTGTAACTTATGACTTTTTCTAAAATTTTAACTAAAAAAGCCTAAAAAATTACAACTTGTTTAATTTTTTACTTTAAAACATTGTCGTTCTGAGGTATCAGTCATTTTTGACAGCTTTTGACAACTTAGTAAATACAGTCGGCCAAAAGATTTTTGTTCTGGGACACCCTGTATATATAAGTAGGGTTTAGTAAACAGTTTTCAATACAGGGTGGAAATATAATGACAAATTAAAAAACTAAACTTTTTTTTTTAAATTAATTAAAAATTCAAAAATAAACTGTTCTTCAATCTTTTAAATGTTCAAAATGTCCCCCGTCCACTTCCTGACACTTTAGTAATCTACTGTGAAATTGTTCCCGCACTCTGTTTAAAACCTCCGGTGTTATGTTCCTAATTTCTTCAGTAATTCTGTTTCTTAGAGGTGTTAGATTCGGTGATCTTGCTGGCCATTCTATAAAACCTCTTCTTCCGATCCACCTGTGTGGAAAGGTGTCATTTAAATAATTCCGTACAGGAAGAGCATAGTGGGGTGGGGCACCGTCTTGTTGAAGCCATATCCTTTTATTGGGAAGATTAGGTTCCAATGGATTTGGAAACAACTCTGCTAAAGTTGGGACAACTTGTTCTCTTAGCATATCCAGATATCTTGCCCCGTTAAAATTTTCAATAAAAATAGGTCCCACCACAAGATCACCAAAAATACCAGCCCAAACGTTGATTTTCTGAGGACGTTGGGTATGACTTTGTCGCATCCAGTTGGGATTTTCTTCTGCCCAGTACCTGCAATTGTGTCTATTTACCTCGCCATTTAATAGAAATGTTGATTCATCAGAAAAAAGAATATCTGCAGAAGAAATAACATTCCTGTTTAACATATGCAGCATTTGCTCGCAAAATTGTAATCTTCTATCAGAATAACCATCAATCAAGTCTTGTACGTGTTGTAGTTTATATGGATGCATTTTTTCGGCTTTTACACATCTTAAAACGGTCGAATGACTAACGTCGTTTTCACGTGCAACCTGACGCGTAGAAGTTGTTGGATCTTCTTGAAAAGCTAATAAAATATTAACTTTCACATTTTTATCAATAAAATGAGGCGTCCTGCGTAATGGTTTAACGTGTCCATATTCACGAAATTGTGCATGTATTTTAGACACAGTTTCCTGAGAAAGTGGTGGTAAATCTGGGTATTTTCCATTAAAAAGGTTTGCAACTTGCTGTTGTGATCTGCACATATCACCGTAACCAATCATCATTAATATTTCTATTCGCAGAGTTTCTGTCAAGTGTCGCATTTTTTAACGAAAATATTAACTGATACTTGGATCTAACAAAATACTTCAATAAGTAAAGCGCAAAATGTTTTATTAATAATAAAAATTTAAACAATGCAAAAAGGACAAACGTAAAAAATGGCATTAACAAAAAACAATAACAAAGCGAAAAAACATGAATATCTAAATAGCGAAAGCCACAACACAAGAAACTAAATCATAGAATAACAATAAAAAATTCATACTTGTAATTTTTAAATATTCACCCTGTATTGAAAATTATGGTTACTAAACCCTACTTATTTGGTATCGTCGTACTCAAAAAAATGTGCACTATCAATTTTCGATGAAAAAAGTGGGGTTGTTATTTAAGATTAGGGTGCCTAATGTGCGGGGGGGAAATGGTGAGGGCATAAAATTTAAAATTATCATTATAAGATTTGAAATAAAAAACTAAAGTTTACGAGTACGAGCGTTTTTCATAAAAATCTTTTCTCAACGAATAACGAATTTTATTCCATAAGTGAGTGGACACTGTATAAATATACATATGTGGTCAGTGTGGTTGTATTTTTTAATAAGACTGATTCCCTCTTCGGCAGTGTCATAAACAAAGCTCATCTTACAACAAGAATGGCGGACAATTACGAGGTAGGAATTCTTCAGTTTTGCATTTTCCTTTAATAATAAGGATATTACAGAAGAAGCTTGTTATTTTCGTAGCTTTGTTTATGAAACTATATATAGTTTAATCAATGCGAGGTGGACAATCAGGCAATTTTGGACGCTTTAGGTTTTTTACCATCATTTCTATAGTTTTTATAGACTCGAATATTAATAGATTTGGAATTTTTGACAAAAGATTCCCCTTAAAAGCAGTTTAGAATAAAGACGTAGATGGTTGTATAATTTTCCCAGAGGCGATTCTTTACTCTTCCTTTCTTCATATTTATTTTAAAACCCTACATATGATTTTCTGTCTTAATAATAGACCTATTATTACTTGTACACAATTTTACTCATTATTTTGTTTTTTTTTTAGGTTTTAAACGGTTAAAACATGTTTTTATAAAGTGTTTTTATTTAAACAGGTTTTTTTTTCAATACATAGACCACAAAATAATTATTTATTTCACTTTGTACGATTTAGTATTTTGCCTGATAAAATTAAAAAACACTGAAAAAATTAATTTATCTCCACGCGGTCTATAATTTAAACTTTAATGTTTTCAACATTCGATAAAGAAATACCTTGTTATGGCCTAGGCCGATAAAAAATTTTATGAGGCAAGTAATTAGTTCGATTTTTTCTCGCTAGGGGTATTTTTTTCACAAATTAATCCTTTTCTAAGAAATTAACGTACTAAACTGGTTTAATTTATTTATAATAAGCACTAATTTGTTTGTTTTACTGTTAATGTTTAATATTTTTCATTAAATTATTGTAAAATTAAATATAAAACAAAAAGTGAGGTTAGGCATCCAAGAAAACGCACGATTCTTTTTCTACGATTTAAATTATCTTTAAGTTTTAATTTGTTTTAAGTTTTCAGTGAAATTAAATGTTAAACACACTTTAAACATTCCAAACTACCTATTTTTTAAATAAAAATCCAAACAAATTGAAATTAGATACCTACCTATTTATTAAACAATTAATTGAATTCAATGTACCTAATAGCAAAAATCCATTTCTACTTAAATCATGTTGCTAGGTATTGTCAAACTATTACCTACTGCTTCTAAAAGCAATAATAATTATTGTACATTTAATGTAATCTTTACCTAATAAATAAATGAGATTCTAAAAAAGTAAGGTTAGGCCTCTTTAAT